TTTCATCTAATCCCAATCACTATCTTTAGTGAACCCACTGTCTAATAGCACAACCAAACTTTTACCCCTATGCAACTGTAACTTCACAGCACTTGATTCCATCTCTTTCCACTCTTCCCTACCTCTTCTCTCTCTTCCTCTCCTTGTAAACACCATTACACTCTTAATTTCTTTGAGGTCAACTTTTTTATTTTCTACATATGAGCAAGAACATGCAATTTTTATCTTTTCTTGGCTTATTTTACTTAAATATTTTCAGCTCTATCCATGTTACTTTAAATGACAGATTTCATTCTCTTTTAAGGTTGAATTAATTATATTCATGTTCCATATTTATATATATGTTCCTATATATGCATATATATATATATATATATATATATATATATATATATATATACATATATATATACATATATATATCCTTATATATATGTTCCATACTTTGTTTATCCATTCATCAGTTGATGGACATTTGGGTTATTTCCATTTTCTGAGTATTGTGACTAGTGCTATAATAAACATGGGGGTGGGATTTCTTTTTGACAGAACAATTTAATTTATTTTGGCTATATCTACCCAGGAGTGGGATCATTTGATCATATGGCAGGTTTATTTTTAAGGTTTTGAAAAACATCCACACTGTTTTCCATAATGGTTGTACTAATTTATGTTCCCATGAACATATGCAAGTGTTTCTTTTTCTCCACATCTTTGCCAACACTTATCTTTCTATTTACTTATTTTTGGTACCAGGGATCAAACTCAGGGCACTCAACCACTGAACTACATCCCCAGCCTTATTTTGTATTTTATTTAGAGACAGGGTTTCACTGAGTTGCTAAATTGCTGAGGCTGGCTTTGAACCTGCCATCCTCCTGCCTCAGCCTCCTGAGCCACTGGGGTAACAGGCATGCGCCACCACACCCAACACTTGTTTTTTTTGTTAATAGTTATTCTTCTTGGAATGAAATGATTTCTCATTGTAGTTTTGATTTGCATTTCCATGATGATTAGTGATGTTGAGCATTAAAAAAAATACCTGTTGGTTATTTGTATGTTTTCTTTTGAAAAAATGTGTATTTAGGTCAATATCTCTTTTTAAGAATGGATTATTTATATTTATTTTACTCTTGAGTTTTTTGAGTTCCTTAATATTTTGGATATTAACGCCTTGTCCCATTGTCAGATGTATAGTTTGTAAATATTTTCCCACATGCTGTAGGCCCTCTCTTCTCTCTGTGTTTGTTTCTTTCACTTTGCAGCAGGTTTTAGTTTGATGTTACTCCTTTAACTATTTTCCCATTATTTTTTGTGCTGTCATGGCCTTGTCTAAAAATTTCTTTGCCCACTAGACATTGTTCTTGCAGATAGTTAGACAATTTGATGATTGGGTTGTATCTACTGAGACTTGTTTTTAAAGTTTTGTTAAGATTTGCCCTGATACTGTGGCATTATTATTTTTCTGAGATTTTTAGTGAATACCCTGGATGTTCAATGGAGGTTTTCTGCTCTGCTTACTTGAATCTTCCAAACCTGGGTGAAACCTAAAAATTGTTCAGATTACAGTACTTATATGTTACTTCGCCTGACCATGAGGACTTTCATTCCATGTAGTTGTCTTAGTATTTATTAGTACTCAGGGTTATACCCCTGTAGTTTTCTGGAGTTTTACTTTGTCATAATTGTCTCTGTTTTTCTTTTTGTATTGAACACTATAACACCCTGGGCTTCATAACCTGTGATATTGTTTTCTTAATTTATTCAGAATTTTGTACCCTGCTTAGATTTTTTTTTTCCTTTATTGTTCACTGTGGTTCAGAAGGTGTCTATAGGCAGGAAACCAGGGGTAACATGGGGATATCTTGGTTCTTTCCCTTCTCTCAGGGATCACACTTCCCTGCTTGGTGCTCAATGTCTGAAAGCATATACCTTATACATTTTGTTTGGGATTCTGTTTCTTTGCTTTTTTCTTTTGTTTTTTTTTTGTTTAATAAGGAGGGGTAAGGCTACTCCATCATACTGGAAGTAGAGAACTCTAGTAACTGTCTTTTACAGTCTATAACATTGAGAAATTCTCCCAAGATGTTTGTTAAGCAGGTTAGAGATGGAAAACATTTGTTCTTATTTTACTAGTTTATTCGTTTTTAAAAATTAAATATAGACATTGTATTTCTAGTATTTGAATAAAGTATAAATTTATACTATAAATTGGCATAAATACAAATAAGTCAGCTTAAATTATATTTACACTTATTAATTAATTTTCACTTTGTTTTTTTATTTTGAATTATATACATTTTTAAATGAATTCTATGATTCCTGTTTATGTATACATCAGAAGTGATTAGGTAGTAATTAGATAGTAATTAGGTAGAAGCTTTTAAAATGCATTTACAGGGGCTGGGGTTGTGGCTCAGTGGTAGAGGGCTTGCTGGCATGTGTGAGGCACTGGTTTTGATCCTCAGCACCACATAAAAAATAAATAATAAAATAAAGGTATTATATTCATCTATAACTAAAAAATATTTTTAAAAAATAAGTAAAATGCATTTACATAAATTTAAATTATTTGCATTTGGTTAGATGATAATTTTTAATTTTTATTTTTAAGTTTTCTTGAATTATATTATTGTAATGTGCATAGTTGATTACTTTTTTCCCAACTTGTCTTCAAATTTTTCAGTAAAATGACTGAATTTAAATAAGCTCAAGGATTATGAGAGTTAAATCTGATAATCACTATGTTTATAATTAGCACATATACAATATTTTACATTACATTTTCAGTTGCATTTTATTTTTAGGTCAAAATTAGGCTCCCTAATGAGTCTGAGAAGTGTGAAGTATATGCTTGGAGTATGACTTTAGCAAATAGAGGAAACCAAATGGTTTCCTAATCTAGTTCTAGCTAGAAATAGCAGGTACAAATATATCCATGTACATCAAATTGCTCAGCAAATTTCTGACATTCTTCTTATTGCTGAATTATAAGTCTTAACTTTACCTTTATTTATTTCATAACAGGTCATGATAGATTCCTCTGGGAATATCTGAAAGCTTTTTCCTGTGTGACATCAAGTTTTACACAATCCCATTTTGATTAAATTTATAGAAATGAATCTTTTAATAAAATAAATGATGTTATGTGGATGATGAGTTTATTGTGCTGTACTCAATTTAACAAGAGTGTTTTCTCTTTAAAGATGAAATTTATCTGCAGGAAACATGGATTTTTTTAAGGGATCAATAGAAATAATCTGATCCTATATTGATAAAAGCTAGGAAAAGGAACAAAGGAAGGAAAGAATAAAGCAGGGGAGAGAAGGAAGAGAAGGGGAGAAAGAGAGAGAGAGAGAGAGAGAGAGAGAGAGAGAGAGAGAGAGAGAGAGAGAGAAAGCAAACTGTTCATACTTCCTTGATTAGGGATTAGAGATTAGATATAGACCAATTGATAAACTGAGCTTTCTTTAATTTAAAATAGTTCACAAAATAAATATCACCACATACTTATTTAATCCTCACTGTGGTGAGGATCACTAAATGGTGAACTGGCTACACTTTGCTGTACTTAAAAAACTTTTTTTTTTTGAGAATTCTAAATTTCTAAATACAGATTCTGTTTTATTAAAAATATCATTATATATAAATTTTTTCTATACAAATATTTGAGAATAAACCTTTTTCTTTTCCTTGCTTGCTACTTATGCCACTAAAGTTTAAAACAAATGTAGTTTATTCTAGTCATTACAATCATGAAATGCTTTGATTGTATTTGCCTGGAGAAACTCAATCTGCCTGGATATAAATTTCAAATTTTTCTAGTAGACTCCACTTCCAATTCCTTCTGGATATACTGTTACTTCTGTGGTTGTAGTCAAGGCTTGGACTGAATTCGTAGAGTATCTAAAGAGTGTTTAAATCTGTTATTTTCTTATTCAAATGTTATTAAGATAAAAATACCAAACGTGTATGCACATATATATGCAAATTACAATTTCTATACAGTAGACAATAAAGTGGGAGAATCTATTTAAGTTTCAGAAATAGGTCTTATTTGAACATATTTCAGTACTCAGTAGGTTGATATTTGAAAATTGAACATCAGACCTCTTTTCAACTTTGTATGTAATCTAAATATGATACTCTTCTTGAAGCCATAAAAATCAATCATATTTTTTGCTAATTACTGCTTGCTATCATCAAGGTTACCATTAGTTGTTTCACAGGAATGATTCTTAAAAATATTAACATTAATCTCACTTCATCATAACCTAAGTTTCTTTTTTATTCCAAAGAATATATGTAATAAATGATGCTCAATATAAACTCATTACAGGGTAAAGAGCAATTACTTAGCTCTTGGAGTAATGTCATAGGAAAATGAATTTTTTGTCAATGTCAGGAGAAAATACATGTATATATATATATATATATATATATATATATATACACACACATATAAGTATATATGTGTTGTATATGTATGTATATATACATACATGTGTTTGAAAATTAACTTACATTATAATTATAGTGATGACATATGTAAATACCCACATATCTATGATATAGATGGTTCTATCTATATCCATCGATAATTTTCTCTATATCTGTCCATCCATCTATCTATATCTATAGTATTACTATAATCTGGCCTAAGCTTGAAATAGAAAATACCTATTAACAATAAATGATGAAGACCTTTTTTAAAAAAAATATATATATAGCAACAAGAGTGAACTGCAAATTTCAGTTTCTGAATCCCAAGACCCATGTCACTCCAATTTTATGCCCATGATTTCCTGAGGTCCAGAAAAGCCTTTATGTGTCTTTCACTTCACAGAAAGAATCAGATTCAACAGAATACAGTACCCATGTATGTAACTCCATTATCTTCATACTTGTCTATAGTTTTTCTTTACTCTCAATGTTCTAGAGATTATCAATTTTGTGGTATTATTTTATCCTAACAGATAGCAAAAGAGAAATCTACTTACAGCCAATCAACATGACACAAATTGAAAAGATTTTCTCCGAATTGGTGTTAGGAGACACATTTCCAAATCCTACACTGGTTAAACTGCTGAAGGTAAAATAAAGTGCTGTGACGTATTTGTCTTTAATGGATGGTCCAGAACTTGAGTCACTGTCATTGTAACGTTTCCCAATTTGTTGTCCTAAGGAATCCAACCATCCAATTTTGTCAGTCAGATATGGCCTTTCTACATTCCCAATTGCATACCAAATGCAAGCCAGCCAGTGAGCAATCAGGGCAAATATGCACATTAAGAGCATTAGAACAGCAGCGCCATATTCTGAATATCGATCCAGTTTCCTGGCTACTCTCACAAGACGAAGGAGCCGAGCAGTCTTCAAAAGACCAATTAATGTGGTTGTCTGTTGGAAATAAATGTGTATGGTTAGAAACAGTTGACAAGCAATTCAAAGTACGTTTAGGTAAGGTAGAGTTGCTAGAAACAGGTTAAAATGATATGGTAGCATTGAGAACAACTCTTATGTTTGAATTAAATGTTAAGGTTAGTTCATTTTTAAAAAGTTTTAAACCTGCATTGGAAAATGCTTTGAACATATGGCAGCTTATTTCACTATCTACCCATGTAAGACTTGTGGGACAGATAATCTATCTTGTTTTAAACCCAAAACAAGTACTTTGCCTATAATGTGTACTCAGTAAATCATTCATTCACCAACAAACATCCCAGTGTTCCTGCCTACCCAAAACCATACACCAGGACAGTAGTGTTGAACAGGAGGAATGCCCACTTTTCTAACAGACATATTTAGTAGACACAGTGTCTTCTTTAATAGAAAGAAACTAGGTCATTTTATGAGATAAAGACCTAGTTTATTTATTGGGCAAAACAGATATTTTTAAAAAATAATTTCACAGAGTGAAAAGTGCAATGAGGACATTAAGCAGAATACCATGACACAGTATAATATTAGAGGGGGTGTTCAGGGACATGGGTTGTGGCTGAGATTACTTCAGGCAGAAAGATCAAGAAAGGTTGTGCTGAGGGCTGACAGTTGAACTGAGAAAGATCTGAATAATGAAAAGGAGCCAGTCAAGCTCCCTCTTTCTGTAACTGTTGGAACACTTATTGGATAATTGCATGCATTAATTACACTCTATATTTAAATGCATTTTTTTCTTCCTAAATGTGTTAAATGGATAAATTGTTTCTTGATATGCCAAGGATATTATGATTATATTTTGCTTTGGAGTATGATATCAGTAACTAATTGCATGATTATTACTGACCAGGTATCTAATGATAGGATACTTTTATATAATAACAGGATACTTAACTGGTTGTTTGGACTTGAAATCTGATAAGTACAAATTACAAGTTCATTTCTTAGGTTTCTTAAATAATGTCAACTATAAGTACTATATAATTCACAGGGCATATAATTATTCCATAGTTACATGGTATTTACCAATCAATTATTGAGTCATTTTATTTGTTCATTGTTGGTGTTTATTTTACAAAGTAATCCAACTGTGTTAAGAATAGTTATATCTTAATTGAAGAAATAGCACATGAAATAACTATTGCCCCTTATCTATTAATATTGACTTTGTAAAAAAAGAACATTAATGTCAAGGAAAAGAAAACTTTTTATTAAAATGTTACAGTATATACTGTAATTTTTTTCCCTTGTACCATTGGTAAGAAAGGAAGGCATTAATTGTTTTAAAAATAATATTGGAAACCTTTAAAAGTCAGAGGAATTTGTGTAGTTGAGATAGGGCTACCATAACTAGAACTGGTCTATTTTCAGGTTTAGTGGTATAGAGATGTGAGTCTTTTCTGTTCCCAATGCTGTGTTATATTTTTCAGAGTGTAATGAAAAAAATAGTTTTTTTTTCTTCTTGACAGATTTAAAAGCATATATCCTTACAATGATTGATGGATAGTTCAAGGTCATATTATTATTATTGTTCTTCCTTTTTTTTTTTTTTTTTTTTTTGGTACTGGGGATTGAACTCAGGGGCACTCAACCACTGAGCTACATCCCCAGCCCTATTGTGTATTTTAATTAGACATAGGGTCTCATTGAGTTTCTTAGCACCCCCCTTCCCCGCCCCCTGCAATTGCTGAGGCTGACTTTGAATTCCTGATTCTCCTGTCTCAGCCTCCCCAGCTGCTGGGATTAAAGGTGTGAGCCACCATGCCCAGTTCAAGGTTATTTTAGTCTCCACTATTTGTATGGGCAATATTTTAGTTTTAATAGGTATGTGCTAGGGGACCTTTGAATGGACAAACTTATGATTGAACTCTGCTTTTGTATCAATATGTCACTTTGGATAAGTTATTTATTTAGTCCCAAGCTTCAGTTTCTTCATCTGTAAATTAGAATAAAAATGTTTAATTTATAGAGTTGCAGATAAGACCCAATAAATGGTCACTCTTCATGTCTCTCTTTAAATACCTCTTACATTTTTGTGTGACAATGTAACAAATGCCTTGGCCTTATTTCTATTTTTATTAAGTTCTGCTAATACTTTTGAGAATTCTTTGCTAGTGACAGTTTTGTACAGCACTGCTTATAGACAATGCTTAGGGTTGCAATAATTATTTTTTCTTCTTTCTATTCAAATATTTCTCTAAAGACTTAAGGTATCTTGCCCCATGTTACAGAATGGAGAGAATCAACTGTATCCAAATTTAAGACAGAGTAGACTAAGGTATTATCAGTCTCTTCTTGCTGAGTTAGGCACTATTAGTTCTCATTTTTAGTACAATGTACTCTATTTATACTGCCTGCAAGTGAAAAGTGGGTCCAATGAGTTCCTAATAATATTATTCTAACATCAGAATTGAAATGAAGAAATGATTTCAAAATGAATGGTTATCCTGCAGCATTCCTAATTACATGAAATATCCAGATATGGTATAGAAATCTATCTTTGTGGCTTTTAAATTTCTGGCAATATAACAGATGAAACTATCTACAAACCCACTCACAACCATTTGAAAAGAGAAGCAATAAAGAATTTTCTCTTAGATGTTATTTATTGAGCTTTTTACTGGTATTAGAATATTTTTTGCTAATTTTTACTCTTGATAGAGACTTTGAAAGCATAAAAGCTCAACAAATACTAAAGTGTTATTATTTTTATAAAATAAAAACACATACTGAAATTATAAGATATAAAAAAGGTAATTCATTTTCAAAGAAAGGTACTTTGTTAGTAAGGGGGACAAAAGGAACCTTACCACTTCCAGTCCACACCTTACCAGTACCAGATCAACCTGAGAATTCATTTATTGTGATTGAATATTTCAGACTCTTTTTGCCAGATGTCACAGCAAAGAAAGTTTTATTTAGACTTTTATTTTTAACAAATTTTGACATTTTTTTTGTTTTTAAAATGTCTCTTCTTTCAGAAGTTAAATAATTCATATTTTTTGTTGGTAAATGAATATCATCCAATCTCAACTTGAAAACATATCTATATCCACTGTTTATTAAAAGCCCAAGATGCCTTCTTATACTGAGGTAGAATTTAGTTTTGTTTATTGAAGTATTTAACTTTCTTAAATATATATACAATTATAGTTTTTTAAATCCATTAGATCCTAGATTCATATTTAAAATATCTGTCAATATTTTTTACTAGACATTCTACAATAAATCAGGCGATATTCTGTCTTAATACCAGTGGAATTCTTTTTGAAGGCCTGAAATTAGAAAATTTTTTATCAGTATTAAACATCTTGCTACTGAAGAATAAATTTGGTTATAATTAAATCAGAAAGTGTCACCAACAAGAGAAAATCTTACGTTCAACAATTTTAAAAAATAATTTTACTTTATTTTTTATAAGCATTTGCAAGAATCTTACATTTAAAATATTTATCACAGAGACTCTCTAAAACCTTTGCCTATAGGTAAGTGATATGATTATTATTTTATAAGTAAGGAACCAAAGTATATGTTCTTTGGTTTCATCCACAGGGCTGACAAAATAAATCATCAATGAAACCTTCTGCTTAATTCATCATTCATCTTGTTTGTAAGAAAATATTAATGTGCAAATAGGGAAATGGTAACACAAGTAATAAATTTCAGGATTCCACACTCACTTTTCTTTTATAGCTTTGCATTTATATACATCGTTCAATGAATTATTCAATAAAACTCAGTAATATTAAAGCTAGTTTGTAGTCCTTTGTCATCTTGTCTACAATCATTTCAATATTTTCAATAACCCATTACTAACACAAAGAGAGATATTTTGAATGTGTATAAGACCTTGGGAATTACCTAGTGTGCCATTTCTTTATTCACAACAAACCTCATATTTACTTCCAAAAATTATGAATTTTGTGGGGAATCCTGGGAATTGAACCAGAGGAACCTTACCAGTGAGCTATACCCCCAATCCTTTTTATATTTATTTTGAGACAAGGTCTTTCAGGCTGGCCTCCAACTTCTGATTCTCCTTCCTCAGCCTTTGGAGTCCCTGGAATTACAGGTGTGTGCACCACACCCAGGCAAACTATGGTTTTTAAAGAGGAGATACAACCCCACTGAAAATTTCTTCCTATATTTAACAATATTTACAACTGAGATACTTGGCTTTATATTGTTTGTATAATTAGCATTCTATTATATTGCAATTTGAATTTGCCTTCTCTTCCTTTACAGTGACATGGAAAACTTGTCATTAAATGATTCTAAATCATAGTAGGCAAATGTTACATCAAATAAACAATTATAGCCAGGCATGATGGTGTGCTCCTGTAATCCAGCAGCTTGGGAGGCTGAGGCAGGAGGATCATGAGTTTAAAGCCAGCCTCAGCAAAAGTGAGGTGCTAAGCAACTCAGTGAGACCCTGTCTCTAAATAAAATACAACATAGGGCTGGGGATATGGCTCAATGGTCAAGTGCCTCTGAGTTCAATCCCTGGGACCCAATAAACAAATATGTATAAATGCTATATCTTTAAAATGGGAATTTGACTTTATCCAGATAAAATCTGTACCTTATGCCATCTATAGCAATATGTGGTCAATTACACTAAAATAAGACAAAATTGATCAGCTTAATGCAAAATTATTTATTCAATTGAGGATCCTGTATCTTTCCCTTGCTAAGTCACAGAGTTTGGGAGGTACCATCAAAGATGCAAAAAAAAAATAGCCAATGGAAATTTCTTTCACATATAAGTCAAGAACTACCTAAAGGAAGAGACAGAGCTACTTACTTAAAGTTTAACCTAAGTATTTGTGTTGTTTTGGACATTAACTTCCAACAAACTACTGTCATCTATTGTAAAGATCAAGTTCAGAAAAAACAGCTGACAAGATGATCAGGATTTCTAAACATTTCTGAAATTTTCCTCATATTCATTCCAAAATTTA